GCAACTGCCCTTTGTCGGCAGGAAGTAAAAGATATTGCCATCTGATGATGATTGAATGAACTATGTGGAAATTATTTCAGTCAAGCCTAGTCCTTTAGACACTATCACAGCTATGTATTGATTCTTGCTGGCACCCAGAGTAGCAATGTCAGTAATTATCAAAGGAACTGAATTATATCATAACCTTTAACTTTGAGTTGTAATTCAGCTGCAGTTCAACTTTACAAGATAAAATGAGGAAGATCACTTTATCCTGTACTGATTCTCATAAGTTTTCTGGGCTATAATTGGCATTTTGGTGAGTGCTAAAATGACAAAAATATTTAAAATAAAAGGAGGAAAATGATAATGCCAAGATATGCATATGCATTTCCCAGCTGTATTGTATCTACCTTGTTAGTGAAAACTATGTTAAATCTGAAGTCAGTGGAATAAACTAACTTTTCATCTTTGGAGAATTTGTTCATATTTTGACTTGCACCAGACATGCAAAACTGCTCTGAGAATTCATTAATCTGGGCATAAAATCTACTTGCTTGCTCCTTGCCATCGATAACTGTAGAAGAAATTTGATATTTTAGTCACCTATTAAAGGCAGCCAGATGTCAGAGTTGACACCCCTAGGTAAGGCTGCATGGAAAAGCTTGTGTATTACCTTCTCCAACTATACTGCCTAAAAGCAAATACTGTAATTTCCTCACTTGCATAAGTATCAAATTCAAGTGAGCAATTTATAGATGAAAATGATGACTTTTTAAAAATAACTTTGACTTTTAATAGCTGGGACTTAATAGATTAGCTTTCATTCAGTGAAAAAATAACACTTTTTGAACTGTTCACATGCTTGAACTAAATATGACAAAAAGAAGCTGATGTAAATAGACACAGCTGGAATTAAGTTAAAATAGACTTGATAAGACAGCTGCATTTCTGTGGAACTACTGGGAATCTTTTGCACTAACAAGTTCATCACATTTCTATATAAAACAAAAACAGAAGCTATTTAAAATACACTCCTTTTGGAAGTGCCCTGTGTTACATAAAGCCCAAAGGTATATAAGATATAGTAGACATTTATTTTTTGTCTCTAACACAGGATGACAGTGATGTGGAGTGGAAATTTGCTCGCTCTAAACTCTGGTTATCTTACTTTGATGATGGAAAAACATTACCCCCTCCATTCAGTCTTGTACCAAGCCCAAAGTCTTTCGTCTATTTCATCATGAAAATCATTAACTTTTCTAAGTGCAGAAGGAGAAGTTTGCAGAAAGATATCGAAATGGGAATAGGTAACTCCAAGTCTAGGGTAGGTAATGAAAAGTTTTCATTGCACTACACTTCTCTTCTAGCATTTTGATTTTCTTCCACTTTTAGGGAGATAATATGTACTTGTAAAGGATGGTACTCTAATTAATGAAGTATTTTTTTTTTTATTTCTATATACCAGATGCCTTTAAGCACTGCATAAAAGAAAGGAAAATAATTTTCATAGGACAAGATTCCTTTACCAAATATAACTGAAAGAAAAAACAAACAATCCTAACAATATCCAAAAAAATCAGCAATATCCAATAAGTAATTCCCACAAAAAATTACCTAAATATTGAACAAAGAAATTTTCAAGTTTGATCAGAAATATGTCACTAGTAGACTTAAGGTAAAAGGTTGAAGATCTGGAAAGCTGTTTTTCCTTTCATCACTAGAAAAGGTGAAGGATCAAGTGTAGCCAGTATGGTATGCAAGTCCTCAGTCCTCTCCATGACTAAAGCTATGTACCCAACAAGGATGAGGGATAATCATCTATTTGTTATATAATAATGCTTAGACTTTATGTAACATCTTCCATCAGAGCATTTGGATGTTCTTTACATATATTAAAATGTGTGTGGTAACACCTATGTAAAGTAGATAATCATTGTTCTCATTTGCAGACTGAAAAATGGGGCACAAACAAGTTAAAGATGACCTGCATGGGATTTTATTTTTATAAATTAGATTTGTAGCCATATATATAAAAGCATTGAACACATGCTTCTAAAATAATTTTTGGTTGTTTTATTTTACCTTAAAAATGTCAGAAATGTCAAGTTTGGTTTTATTTTCCTGATAAATCAGGAACTATTTAGGAGCCTAACACATGTTTATTGTGACCTGTCTTTAACAAAGAAATGTTTTTGCCTGTGTGTTACTTAAGCAGTGGAGTTAAATAGGGGCAACGTATAGAGGGTGCACGCAGGTGCACCCCCTGCAAAAAGGCGCTGCCACCACCACCATCGCTGGCAGTGTCTGCAGGCAGTCCACGATTGCTGCTGGCCACTGCTGACATTGCCGGCAGCGCCTGTGGGCGGACGCCAATCCCTGGCGCACGCTCCCTGCTGCCGACAGTGCCGGCAGCGTCTGCGGGAGCTCCCAGCTTACCGCCGCCAGGCTCCCGCCGCTGCCACCACCACCAGCGCAGCCGTGCTCCCCCAGTCACCAGGGGCATGTGCCGTTCATGGAGTTAAATAAGTGTTTAAAGATGTATTTTCAAACTGTTTAGCTAAAAACCCTCTCCACTCCTAACAGCTTTTACTATGTAGTTTTGTGTGATGTCCTAATATCACTAATATTCTAGTGGGATGGCTAGCCCTGTTACTCTGAAGTCAGGCATAAGGTAGGGCAGGATGACACCTTGGAGACATCAGATGCATCTGATGAAGTAGCTCATGTCTCTCTGAACCAGTTTGACTTCAAAATGCCACTTTTACTCTAGTCACTATAGAGCCATCCAGCATAGAAAAAAATTGAAATTATGTTGTAAAAACAATCACGATTATGATTACTGCTACTACATCAGCACCTCTTTATAGAGAAAATTATAAAGAAGCAAATTGAATATAAATTCCAGTTTTTAAATCTTTTATAGGTCATCTTTAACTGACTTGTTTTAAATGGTCACACATGAATTTCATGATAAAGCCAGTAATAGAACTAAGGTCAGATTCTTTTCTTACAAACACAGACTTTTCATTGCTATGACTTCTAATTCTCATTGGTATATGTGAAATAAGAATCAAGACCCAGATCTTGTAGTACCAACTATTATGGTTTAGTCATATGACCATCTTTCCATTTTTCTTTTTGTCTTATTGCTACTAAACTGTCTATTTAAGTACTTGGACTCTGATGGCTATACTATGTAAATTGTTGCACTAATAATATGATGGTGACTAGTTTTTCAAATCTATTATTATTCCTCATGATTCAGCAAAGCAGAGGCTTAAAAGTTAAGTATGTTCTTTAAGCTCTTTTCTAAATAGTGAGGCCTCATACACAAGTGTGATATTAAACACATGCTTACATGTTTTGCTGAAAATCAGAGCCTAATTTGTTTTCAGTATCTTCTGAAAACATTATTCTGAAAAAATGCACCATATCATTCCTTTAGGTTACAAGATTAAAAAGGTGAAGCTGGGTTGTAGCCATGAATTCCATACAGTGTGTTCTAATTTAGTTTTATTGTTTCCTAGTTAAACCTCTTCACTCAGTCTAACTCAAGGGTTTTCGAATCACACAGTTTTAACAGCATTCTCAATCAGCCAACACGCTATCAGGTAAGGATTTTATTGGACACTAGTTTAGAGCAATGTGACCGTGTGAGGCCAATGACAAAATTATGTGCTTCTAACACACCAAGTATTCGCAAAAAAGCACAAGAATTCTCTCAAAAAGCAGAGACGTCAGTGTCTAAGATAGTACTTGTTGCTTGTTTTCAAGCCTTATCATTTAAAACATTTAAAACCAAACTGCACTGTAGTAGGTCTTTCCTTGACCTGATCATTTTGAAAGCCTGTGCAGCATGTGATTAAAGCAGTTTTCTGGGGAAAGCTCATGAGACCATTGGGTAGGCATTCGCTTCTCTTGCTTTCTGTGAGGAGCTTTCTACTTCAACAACTGTGTGAAGTTTTTAATTTTTAGAGATGAGGGGTAGGTTTGTTCCTGTCTGCTGTAATGAGGCACTTGTGAGAGATTCCTTAGTT